ATATTTTACATGAATAAATTCCACATCTTCAATTAAAGACTGAATAATGTGTTGTTCTCATCATGTGGTCACTAATAATCTGGTTTAATCTTGAAGGAGGGGGATATTATAAAAAATATTTCATACCAATCTTTTACTTTTTTTAAAAGGAGAGAATGTTATTTGGAATTCACGCAAAGCTACAAAGTACTATCTGTCTCTAAGTTTAAATTGACAGACCAGGGGGAAGCTAACTAGTCAATAGCACCTACAACCAACTCTTGGGCTACTCTAATTGTTTGTTTGTTGTTAAGCACAAAGCTATATAATAGGCTATCTGTGTACTGCACATTGTGAGTATTGAAACCACATTTTTAACAGTACAAGCCCTCACACTACTTCTGAGCCACCGAGGGATTCCACGATTGAACAGAAATTTGACTGTCACTCTTATAATGCACCTACAGTCCCAAAATGCAGGTTTTTTTTCAGCACCAGGAAAGGAATCATGGATCTTCATATTCACACTCTGGCATGCTAAAGTTACTAAGAAGAATTAATTTGATGTAATATATGAGAAGTTTTGAGTCATAAAGCTTTGTTTAATTCACTCACATTATATGAAGAAATACTTTTTTTCGGAGATCCAAACACATTTTGATTTTTGCAGAGAAGAGGGTGTCTTGTTAAACCACCCCACAGTTTACAAATGGAGGGTGAAGAGGGTATTCTCATCAGAACATTCACAAAATTTGTGACGAGAGAGGTTTAGTGTATCTGATATGGCCCATTTGGAAAGTCTAGTGGTTTCTGTCCTGTCTTAGAAATACAAAATAGATTTAGATATTTTCATGTACAGGATTATATGCATAGCAGTTGCAGTTTAACTAAGGATGAAATATGCAGTTATAAAGACGTCAAACATGTGTGCCACCATATTTGTTCTTTTAAGTACATGATGGCATGCTCATTGTACAACCTTTCATCTGATCACTTTAAAAATGGTGTTGTACCAAACTGAGTAGATCTGTATGATGTATTGCAAGGTAAATTCATGTCAGTATACTGTATTAGTATTATAGGTAATTACATGCAGGATACAATTTACCACAATATTTATAATCTTCAACTCCTTGTTTTTACACTTCAAGGCCAAAATTCTGTGTTTTTGTGGGAAAAAAGGATATTCTCAAAATCTAGAAAAATCATGTGCTACCCACTTTCGTTGGGCAGTAATATGACTGGGTGACCATGTACAAGGCAGTACATAACAGACTGCTACCTGTCCTGTTATTATTACAGAAGATCATCTAAACAACTTGGCTAACTTGTCCATTGAACAAGAGCCTAGTTTGCAAAACCAACTTGAAATACAAAGTCAAGGATTTTGCTAATAAAAATTATGTCAAACATTTCAAAATTAACCTACTGCACAGCTCTTCCCAATAGTCAGTACCAAGTGTAAGGATACTAAAGGTCATAATGCTGAGCAGTAAAGAGATTAAGCTCAAATGGTAAGGCCATGAGAATAACCTTTCTCCTGCAAACTTTCATTAGTATAATGTCCACATACTATATGATGGAGGGAGGGGGCAAAAAAATTACACTTTCATGTCAGTGGAAGTCTCAATATCAGGTTTTAAAAATCTTAAAAAAAGACTAAATCCTGATATCTCAGATGGGGGGATGGGGCTGTTGGAGGGCACAGCTCTTTAATAGGGAGGATTTTCCCCATGCCACCCCAGTAGACATGCCCCTGATTAAAAGAAGAGGGTCCAAGTAAAAACTTGAACTCAAATTATTGTGGGAAGAGGCCCCAAACAAAACACTTTTCCCAAGCTCGAAGAATTCTGTGGACTCCACTTCCTTTACAACAAGAGGTATATGGTCATGTCAGTTATAGTCGCATCTAATTTAAAACTGCTGATTAAAAGGGCAATACCTATATGGCTAATTTGAACTAGATAGCCAAACACTCTGTTACACCACTAACATTTTGGATGCCTTCAATGGCATATTATGGCTTGAACCTTGGACCTTTTGATCAACAACTCAGCATGTTAACTACTAGGTCATCTTGTTAACAGTCTCCTTTACAATATGAAAACAACAACAAAAAACAATTTGCTGAAACACACAATAAAGACATTACAACAGCAAGTAACATTATGCTTTTTCTTTGGAAATTGTTAGTTTCAGATATTTACACAAAGCTATCTGTAATACTTGTTCATAATCTTGAACTGTTTGTTTGTTGAATTTCACACAAAGCTATTCAAGAGTTATCTGCACCAGCTGTCCCTAACTTTGATGTGATACACTAGAGGGAAAGCAGCTAGTCAATACCATCTACCAACATTTTCTCGGGCTACTCTTTTACCAAGAAATAGTGAGATTGGCCATCACATTATAATGCTCCCACAGCTGAAATGTGAATCTTGAACTGACAGACTAAAGGGAAAGTAGCTAGTCAAAAAAGCTGATCTCCCAACTCTTGGGCTACTCTAATCAAATAGTGTGACTTGACTGTCACTCTCATAATGCACAATGGCCCAAAAATGTGGAATGAGATTTTGTAGCAACAAGACTCAAACTATGGACAGTTAGATCCAGAGTTCAAGATGCTAATCACTAAGCTATGCCTGGCCTTTCTTTGCACATAACCTCATGTGAATAGTTGAAAGTAACAGACTCAAAATATACGAGATCACCTGTATAAAAATATCACTGAATTAAACATTTTTAATTAGACATGCAAGAAAATCTGCTGCTTAAACTGCATTTAAAGTTATAACAGTCTGGTAATACATTTTAATGAATTCAGCCTGAGATCAAATTAAGCTCATACAACTGTTGTGTTTGTTTGAGTGGTGACTTAAGCAACCATAAGACACCAAGATTCCTTTAAATAATTATATAATGTGAATTCACGATGATACCACAACAAAAGATGCCTGAGGATAGAACATGGTAATAGTTTAGAAACAAAATATATTAGAAATATATCACAATACCATTAAAATCTCAATGTGATAAGAGTAAGAACAAAATACAATAGCTTTTAATTAAGTTCTAAGCAATTTATATAAATAAATTTGCACTCAATCAGTAGTTGTTGAAGTACCAATTTTTTTTTAATAGAATTTTACTTGCATATTCCACAGATAACAATAATCATTCAGTAGAAGCACCCTGTTAAAAACACATCTAATTAAAAATATAACATTATAGCAAGAAAAAAAGCAAATATCAAAATTTTGTGTTGCAGCCAAAATACTTCACAAAATTTCGTTGTTTAATATATTTTTAGAAATGAGCAATTAACTTCTTTCACATGTGTCATGAATTCTAAAATAATAAAATGAATAAGAACACTTTTTTTAGGAATTGTTTATAAGAAACTGCCTGGAAAATAACCTAACCCTAACAGTCTGTCTCAAAAACAAAATTTATTCACACCTCTTATTAACTCAATGGCATATTCTACAAAATACATATTACAAGTAAAATAACATTTCTGAAATGCAAATGCATTTAATATATTTGAAGTGCTGTTCTCATCATTTAACTCATAATGAAAAAAAAGTATTATTTTGATTTCTGTAGGTAACATCAACCACAAAATACGTAACATAACATACATCCATGTATATATATATATATATACTTTATTTTGTTAACATACAGAGCAACCACACAACAACAAAATATTTTAAAACACTTTGGGAACTCAAACAATATACTGCTATGCTTTTTGTGAGAACTTCTACTGTTTGCATGAAAAACAAATTAATATTCTAAATTATTCTTTAACCTGTATCACTTCAATAACATCTCATTATTTTGTAATACGACAAGTTTTATCTTTTGAGATAGTTTGTTCCAACTGATTTATTTCCTGATCAATACAACTGAAACATTAACAAAAAAAATGTTCTAGGGCAGGACAGTCACTTTATGTAACACTGTTTGAAGTAAAGTATCTATGGAACTTGTAATATTTGTATCATTTAGACATGAAGTTCCATTCAAACTATCCCAAAAACTGATTTAAATTATACACAAAAGTATTATATAAGACTCCTATAACTGTTGACCCCTCTGCAATAAAGAATTATCCCTTCTCTTGTTAGAATACATTTTAAATATAAGT